CGTTGTACTGCAGTATACCTCGCTTGTATTGAATGGTTGCATCTGTATATAAACTTAATATAGTCAGAAGGAAGACGTAAAAACTTTTCCAAAATAACCACAGTATGTAACCGAATGAAAGACTTTGATGCTTAAAATGTTTAGGAAGAAAGTGGAATACTGGTGGTGTATTTTTAATTTAAACCACCAATACCATATACATATTACATAATATGCTTATGTTGCTAAATTAATAGCTTTTATGAGCATGTGAAAGGCATGGTGTATCAGAGATTCTCAAAACTTACTTTGTATGATTGGAAATAATATGTGAAATAAGTTCAGATGGGTAGCTGCAACAGCATGCGTAGGCTGCAAAGGAACAAGTAATAGTTTTATTCCATGCTGAAAAAAAGAAGAAAGAGAACACGACGTTTCGGCCGTGGAGCCTTCTTCAGGTGTGAGAGGGCTGATATGTGAAATAATATGCAGTGGCTAAGGGCTGTGGGCTGTGTTTAAGGGCTGTGCAGGCTACCCATCAGGCTGTACAAGCTATGAACAATCTGTTGTTAGACCAGCAGGATGAGCTCAAGGTGCTCATAAGTTTATAAATATGCAAAAGATCAAATTTTAACTATTTATACCAACTCACAGTATGTTTTTGGAGTCTGTCATGACTTTGGGAAATTATGGAAAAACAGGGACTTCCTGACACCTACCGGGGCTCCAGTCAAAAATGCTAAGCTAGTGTCAAGAGTTATTGGAAACTCTCTCTCTTCCAAAAAAGTAGCTATAGTAAAATGTAAAGGTCATAACAAGGAAGACTCCTCGGTGGCCAAGAGAAATGCTTTAGCACAGTGGTTCTCAAACTTTTTGGACCAAGTACCACCCCTGATCAAACCAAAGCATCCAAATACCACCTACAAGTCAACTTCTCACAGGAACCCCAGAAAATCTCAATGACCAAAATGAGCGCGTGCGCACACACTCACACACACATATAATAAATATTATAATAAACTTTATTTGATATAGTGCCTTGAAAGGTGGCATTTTAAAGCACTTTACAGAATAAAAGGAATAACAACAATTAAAAATAATAAAAAAGCACCATTTCAGTGAGAGGGGTGAGCCTGTTTAATTGAGCAAATCAGATGTGAATTCATTGGTCGAGCCTTGATACAATTCACAACAGATTCTAACAGATATTAAATCGTCAGGCATTTACTTGACGGCAAAGGCCTCACGGTGGATGCTGCAGTGCATCCACTTCATATCTGGAGCAACCTCTCTAATTTGTGAAACTACACCGCTGTGTCGGCTTGTCATCGCTCTAGAATCGTCTGTACAAACTCTGATGCATTTTATCCAGTCGAAGCCATTCTCTTCAATAAATTCTTTCAGAAGCTGAAATATGTGCTCTCTTGTAGTTCCTGTTGGTAGCAGCTTACAGAACAGAAAGTCCTCATGGGATGTACCCTCAAACTCATATCTAACGTAAACGAGCAAATTGGCCAAATCAACTACATCTACAGACTCATCTACTTGCAGCAAAAAGCATTGGCTCATCTTAACACGCTCTATCACCGTACTTTTGATATTATCTGCCATATCAATAATTCTGTGAGCGACTGTCTTTCGGAGGGGGCAGCAGGTCGAGCTGTTTAGCAGCTTTTTTCTTCACACATAATACGTGTCAATTCTTTTGCCAATGGTAAATAAGGTTCTTCACAAGTAGTGTGGGGCTTACTTGCTTTAGCAATCCGCAGGGTTGCATTTTTCCCTGTTTCTGTTTCAGGAGCCCATCTCAGAAGTTAAAAGAAGTTTTTATTTCATGTGCATGGGAGCGAAACACAGAGACACTTGGTGTATTTTTCTCAAATTAACCTAGAACATTTGTTATCTATCGCACTTTCTTGTGCTCACAAGATTGCCAGCTTTTGTAGTACGCATTCCTATACTTTCCTGTTCTTACAACATTGGCTTTGTTCCAAAATCACGCACATTCTCCTACCTCTCTATTTGCTGGAGATAACTTTTTTAGAATACAATTGGTCACTTACGATCGCAGCATACATTCCTATACAATGGTTTAGAATTCCACAGTAGCTCTTGTGTCTACTCAAGTATTAGCGTGCACTGTATATATGTAGGCTCTGTATTTGACACAAACTAATTTTATTAAAATAGAAAATATGAAAACCCGTCCCAATTTTTCAGTACGCATCAAAGTTCCAGGGTCATCTGGCGGACCACCTGGCGGCGCACAAGTGGTACATGTACCATAGTTTGAGAACCACTGCTTTAGCAGACCTGGCAGCTAGGCAAGCTGCCATGAAAGTTGAGTGGAACCACAGCTATATTTGAGATCACTGGCCTTTCAACAGAGTGAAATTAATGAGCTTCAGAAAGAAACCCTGAAAGAGAAAAAATGGGCATGGTTGGAGAAAAACATAAGTTTTGTGGAAAAGGGTTTGCGGCAGTGCAAAAAAGGACTGGTCGTTTGAGGTGATCAACCGACATCCCATGAGGCTACCAGACACACCAGACTTATCCAGAGGGGCCTTTGAGACTATTAACTGATTGTTTGTTGCAGTATAGACAAAATCCTGGCAGAAGCAGTACAAGGTGCCAGGAAGCAGGTGTCGGAAGCCTGGGGACTGCCCACTGAAAGAGGACACGACCTGATTCGAGGAGAGTGGGTTTGGATAAAAAATATCCAATTTCAGACACTACAATCACATTGGGAGGGCTCCTTCCAAATGCTCTGGACAACGGATTCAGCAGTTCGAACAGAAGGATGGGGCAGGTGGATTTACGCACCTCATTGTCGACACACACCACAACCTGCAGGATATTTGATGAAATGTTGATATTGCTGTGCTTAATAAGTATAACTAGGGGGGATGTCTTGGAACCTCATGCACAGCCCCGCATGGACATTGGAGAGCATGACGTTAATACATTCCTGGATCTCTCTTACCAGCTGGCTTGAGACTTT